AAGATGATGGTGCCGTGCCCTCAGATAGCCACCCTTGAGCCATCACCAAACTTCACCGTACCGGTAACATCGTCGTAGAGCTCAGAGAAGGCTGCCTTGGAGCCCGTCATGTGGTTGCTGGCACTAGAGTCCAGATACCACCGCTGCTCCTGCTCGCCACCCACACGTCCGAGGTGGACTTGGGCACACGGTTCGTCAAGGTTGATAGCTTTAAGGTCCTTCCCAGGTCCTTCCACCATCGCTACCTCTCCCATCTCCTCGGTCTCGATGTCGTGTAGTGCACAGAACATCGCCATCAGGATAGTGGCCTCATCATCATCATTAGCTTGCACCAGATGAGCTTCAGCCTTCTTCTCCTACTTGTGATTTGGGCACTCCCATGCCCAATGGCTCATCTTCCTGTAGCGCCGGTAGGCGTTGGGGTCGACATGCTTCTTCTTCTCTAAAGAAGTCTTGCCACGACGCTTGCCATCGCCACCGCGGCTGGAGGAGGCTATCCCGGAGTTCCTTCAAGCAACCCACTCCTCCTCTGTCAGCAGCAGTTTGCTGTTTGTTGCTGTCCTTCGTTGATGTCGCCTATTCCAGGCGCTCGTCCACCACCCACAGATGGCCTGTCACATCCTCAATGGTGAGGGTGGACAAGTCCAGCATCGTCTCTATGGAGAGAGCGATCTGGATGTACTTTGCCGGCACGGAGTGGAGGTAATTGGAGATCGCCTCCTCTTCATCGATGGTGACGCCGTGGCTCTTCATCTTGTTGATGAGCGTCTATAGGCGGAGGGAGAAATCCTCCACCATTTCACCATCCTTGAACTTGAGGTTGGCATACTCCTGCTTCAGAAGCTGGGCCGTCACCTTCTTTGCGCGGTCAGAACCGACGCGCATCGCCGCAATAGCCTCCCACGCCTCCTTAGCAGAGCTTTTTGCCCCCGACAGCTCCCTATACTCCATCGGTACAGTAGCGAGGATAGCCTCCAATGCTGACATGTCATCTTCTTCATTTTCGGTGCCCTTGTCAACAGCATTCCAGAGCCGTCGGGCTCTGAGCTTGACCTTCATGGTCACCAACCACTCTCCATAGTTGTGCGAGTCAGCGTCGGCCAATTGGTGCCGCTGACCTCCCGCACCGTGCGAACAACGATCTCCTGTCATGGCTGGGCAGCCACAGCAGTGCCACTGCTGTATCCCATTTCTGAACCGTCCATCATCGCCAGCGGTTTGTTCGGTGACGGCGCTTGTACGGCTCTGATACCACTTGTTAGCCCACAGGATCACCGGCTCAGGTGAGTCGACCACTCACCAGTCTTGCCGACCACGGCCGACCACGACAGACGCTGTCCGATCACACACTATGGCTAGAGGTAGAAGAAGGGAGGGAGAACAGAGCATACACACATAGTACAAGCACCAGCGTTGGTCAGAGCCCTATATAGAAGATGGCAAATCTGAACTCTCTTTACTGAGTTGTAGTGGCAAACTATTTATATAACTCTATCCATCTAGTCCTAGTACAGCTGCCATGCTGCTACAGTTACTAGATGTGATAGTATGACTGACTTTGGCGCCTGCCCTTGCTGTGGCTATAGTGCGACAGGTGAGCTATTCGGTGTTTGCCCCTGTAGCTGCTACAGGCAACAGCGGGGAGCCCTTTTCGATTCCGCCTTCACCTGCTGCGCATTCACACAAGAGATGTAGAATATTATCTAACACCACTAACATTCCTCTCCTCTAGCTAGCCCTCCAACTATACACCATTCATCCAAACACTCCTCAAGACCTAGTATAGCTAGAGTAGTTAAAACCCGACAACAACATCTATACTCCGGTGACCCATTCCTAACTCAACACCACGGTGGCCTTTGAAAAAAAGTGGGTTAAGAAAGTATGGACAGCGTTGGGCTTTGGAGAACTGAGGGAGGAGCTAAGCATCTTGCCGGCCGCTAAACAGTGCATGGAAAAAATTCTCAAACTCGATACTAAACAGCGGCTGCAAGTTGCTTTGTTTCTGAACAACTGGTCGTGGGAGAGGAACTGTGTGAGACAAGGAGATAGACGAAGAGACTTTGAGGAAGTTGCCTGGCTCTCCTTATGGCAAGCTGAGTGTTAGCAACCAGCAACTCGATCACACACTAAAGTAGCGAATCGGTAAAACCGAGAAGAACTGGAGCAGGGGAAGGAGCAGCACAGAGTACAGATCGGAGGAGCAAGCAACATGATACAAGTCTAGAAGGATCGAGAAGAAACTAGAGATAGGAATCCGGGTACAAGAGAGATAGAGTTGGGGGAAGATGAACAGCAGAGGGAGGAGGAAGATGAATAGTAAAGTAAGCATAACTAAAACTCTAAGGTTTTATTATTTAGCAAATTTTACTTTCAACAAATTTTGTTTATAAAAATTGTTTTTCATGCCAAACGATTAAAACTACCTCACTATACTTATAGATCTATTTCTCAGGCCATAATCTCAGTGCTAAGCGAGCTCGTAACACTAGAGGTGTTACACCCACCTCTCTCTCTCTCTCTCTCTCTTTGTAGAATGGCAAGGTGGAGAAGAAGCAATAGCATAAAGTGAAGTTTGCAGAGACACCACCCAAATCTCCCACACTCTCTCAATCTCCTATCTATATCTTAGTGCCATGAAGATCCCAAATCACTCAATCATCATCTTCAAGCCCTCCAAAGGGATCCATGCTGGTCCATCCTCCTTCCATGGGTGCGGGCACTCCATGGGACTTGAGTGTGAGACAAATCCTCTTGGAGGAGGTGGTTCATGGCTCTATATCCCCTTAAGTAAGCGCTCTTGATCTTCCTCCTCGCACATCTGCAATCCCAAATCCTATCTCCACATACTGTCCATTCAGACAATACATAGTCACAAATAGCTTGCACCACCTTTGCCTCGTTCAATAAACAATCAGTGTGGTTTGCAGCAAAAAGTAGCTAGAAGAGCTAGTGTTCCTACACATCTTGTCTGTTTATTGGATGACTTGACCAAACGTTGGAAAGGTTGAAGGCATGAATAGACCCTTACCCCAGTATGGGTATGGTGGTTCGGTCTTGTGCTCATTGTGGGAAAAGTTTGTATACCCATGTAGTGTTATTAATCATATCGAAATATTGCTCTCGGATGTGAGCAATTTTTTGGCTTCTAGCCTCAGAGTAGACATGTGATGTTGGCATGTGAAAGATCAAGCTTCACTTGGTAGTTCCTTGTATACATGATAGAATGTGTAGATTTCAAATACCTTTGTATGCCATGTTTTTCCATGTCTTTACACCATGCATAACTATGCCCTACCTTTATGCAAATTTAAATGCCTATGTGGTGGGCCCTTCATACACCATATATATAGTAATTTTGGATAAGCCCTTTGAGTACCTTTGTACTCACAGTATTATCATTAATAAACTATTACTGGTTGCTAAAGATTATGTTGGCCATTTGAGCAAGCTCAAGTATGATCGGTGGATGAGACAGGGGGCCTCTAATCCCCTCCGTATGATAAACTATAAGCACAAGTTAAGCCAACAATTGAGAGTGAATGAAGAGATACAATCAATAACCTTGGTATATGAGTGTGGTCATACCTTGGTAATTGTGGGTTCTGTTGTGTTCAATTTAAATGAATTTCATATATAACTTTTGATTTCATGTGTGGTCTACTTGTGTTGAGTTGAACCTTGAATTGTGGCAGACATATGTGTATTTTGTGTATAGATCCTATAAGTCATGTTAGTGGAGTGCATGAAGAGGCTTAAACTAAGTGGGTCAAGAGGATGACATTATTCGAGAGTGGATTTATTAAAACTTGGGTGGGGTTCTCGCAAATTGCATCTTTCTTCTTTGATCCATTATGCAACCCTACCCATCGAGCCCACTAGCCTTCATCTTAACTAGCTCTCCAATTGCCGACCATTTGTCATCCTAATTATTGCACAATTTTGTGCTACGTGTTGTCGGCACTGCCCATGGGTTGTACCCTGCCTCACCGACTTCTGTTGCTAGCATTCTTCGTCACACACACTGTTTGTGTTAGCTCGAGTATGCATTTGGTGACTCTGGTGCCATGTGAGGCCGAAGTGAAGGTTGCAACATAGTGGAGGAGTAGCTAGAGACGGATAGTGGAGCATCAATGCTTAAGAATAGGTAATGAATGAAGAGAATGCCAGAATAACCCACAATTGCATAAAAGTAGTAAAATAAATTAGGCGATGCTAGTTTAATGGTCCTAACCATTGAATCTCCACCATTAATATCAATCCGACGATCCAAATTGTATCTTCTTCCTCGATCTATCGCCACCCGCACATTGTCCCACTAGCATTCCACACCTCTATCTAGCCCTCCCTCCAACTATACACCATTCATCTTAAGCACTCTATTTTTTTCGCTCCCTAAAAGTCGGTGCCACCGACCACAGTTGTCCCACCCCCGCCTCATCGACCTACACCACCAGCCCACCACCCACCTCCGCCTTGCCTATATCTTCTCTAGACCTAGAGTATGTAGTTAAAACCCAGCAACAACATCTATACTCTGGTGACCCATCCCTAACTCTGAAAACACCACGGCGGCCTTTCAAAAAAACACCAGGGCGGCCTTTAAAAGAAAAATAGCATGCCGGTGGCATTGAAAGTTGGGTGTCAATTCAAACATGCGAGAGGTATTGAGGTAGTATATGAACCTAGAGACGCCTGGACCTGGGTGTTTTGTAGCGGGAGACGCGCAATGGATGACGCGGGCAGCGCCTGCGTGCGGCAACGACATGGACGGCAACGGCGAGCACGTGCGGCACGCCAGCGCTAGCCCGCTCGCCCCCGGTGCCCGCAAGGCGACGAGATGACAGAGGAGAAGAGGAACCCCAGGCAAGTCATGCACAACGTGCCTTGCTAGTTCGGAGGCTCTCCTCTTTCCCCACCCTCAACCCTAATCCTCTCCTCTGATTCGCTCCCGATTAGCCCCTCCATCACCTCCACCGCCGCCAATCCGCACCCGATCAATGGCCCCTCCATTGCCGCCGCCGCCCGCGATGCAGCCTCCGTCGTCCAATGTCACCCCAGCCCCACTGCTGCCCGACGCAGGTGCATCAGCCTCCGAAGCCTTACAAAACCTAAGCCTCCACGTTACCCATTCCTCCTTGGGTCTCGCAACCCCTGTTGACGGTGACTGCGGTGGAGGATCCTGCAGCAAGCCGCCACTAGCGCCCAAGAAGAAGTCCAAGTCCAAGTCGAAGAGGGACAAAAACAGCATCTAGACCGGGCCCAACTCCCTCAAGTGCAAGAACAAAGAAGGCAACCCAGCAGCCGCCCGCCGTCCAGCCCTGGCCCAACGCCGCCGGTGCTGAGGCAACTCATGCTCCTCTCCCGCGTCTTCAAGTCTGAGAGGATCCTGCTCTCGGCTGACCGCCTCACCGCCACCAGCTCCAAGGGCTACCGCATGGTGCGCGCCACGCACGGTATCGCGGCTAGAGCGTGGTACTTCGAGGTCAAGGTCATGCACCTCGGTTCCACCAGCCACACCGGCCTCGGGTGGGCAACCAACATGGCCGACATCGACATGCTCGTCGGTTGTGGCGCGTTGTCACACCCGATTTTAAGGATAAAATGGGATGCAAAATCTTATGTGCGCCCAGAGATCAGTCACACACATAAGCTGAAAAATTATAAATAATATCATTACAGGTGTTTATTACATCACGAATAATAAGATAGAGTCTTCACATAAATATAGCAGAAGTATAAAGATAAATCTATCGCGGAAGCTCCATATCACAGGGACGTCAACTGGTTGACCACGAGTCTAGTAATTCTCTAGAAAGTCGTCATTACCATAGCCATATGTTACCCATCCAGGATTTTTATCCAAATAATGAAAATAAACAAGCGTAAGTACGTGTCGTACTCAACAAGTGTAACACGGGGTTCATGAGGCTCAAAAGACTTGACACAGGTTTAACAGCATTTAGCTTTTTATTGTCACAATTTTAGCATAAAAGTAGCAACAAGTTGTTTCAATCCTAATGTAAAACACATTATCAATGTAAACATGAATAATGAATAGCATAAATAGATAATTCTTAGTGATCATCTATTCCATAAGAGTCCAAGGCCGCTCATGACCATGAGCATGGCTGATATACCAGTTTTACACTCTGCAGAGGTTGTACACTTTCACTATGAGTCGTGATACCCATATGCCCGGGTTAATTACTACCAAAACACTACCAAGGTGAGCAGACAGGGTTCACTATAAAGCCTTTCAAATGTTCGTCTAACAAGTTGGGGCCATTAGATTCACTCGGCAAACAGTTATAGGAACCCCCTATCGAATGGCACAATTCCATCACGGCTATACGCATAAGAGTAGAGGCTGTCCAATACCCGATTCGTCAAGCCATTCTTACGCCAATAAAGGTAACCACTAACAAGCTAGAAGAGGTCCTCATACTGAGCTAAAGCTAGAGCCATGTAGCCCTCACAGTTGTACTGTAAGTCCTAGATGTTCGCTTACAGATAAGTCCTTAGGGAGAGAAATCTGAAGCGTTTAGAAAGTAGCTAAATACTCCAGCCCCCTGTTCCCAAGTTGCTAAAAAGTCATGTTTTAATGTTTATTGCATATACCATTAGTCAAGTTACAAAATCATGGTTTAGTTGAGCACTAGTAAAGCTACCCAATGCATACCCCATAGGAGACAAGGTATAAGTTCAATTTTAGGGAATCATGCAATATGGATTAAATGTATTAAAGTTGATAGGAAACAAGGATAATCCCATGCTATACTTGCCTTGAACAAAATGCTCCGGCTGATCCTGCTCGTCAAAGTAGTACTCTTGATCGCCCATGATTGCTCACCGTCTATACTCGATAATCATAGCAACATACAAGCATCCAGAAGCAATCATGCATAGCAAACAAAAGCTAAAGATTAGAACAGTACACCAATAATATAAAATTCAAGATGAAAAGTTTACAAAACGAATCTACGTCTCCTACGAACACACAGACGCGAAGATCACAAAAATCAGAGCTAAAACGAAGAAGTTATGAATTAAACAAGATTTCCTTTAGTAAAATAATAAATTAAATGTAACCTCGAATTTTATAAGTCGAAAATATATTTAACAGTAGTATGAACATGTAGACTACTCAATTATGAACCTAACGCAACTTGAACGGATCAAATCGGAGTTAAAACGAAGATTTTATGGCAAAAACAAGATTAGTGGCAAAACTGTAAATAGATGAAAACGTATTTTGTATCTAAACCGAAAGAAACTACGCTTTTAAAAGAAGAAGGCGTATTCTAGATTTGCACATTGGACTGCGGGTTATAATATAGAAAAGTGCAGGGACTCTTTAGCATAAACGTAGGGACGGCGGGTTAAGATCCAAATAATTATAAGGGCCTTTTTTGCAAAACGACAGGCGAAGGGGTATGTTCTAACCTGTATCCTTGATTTTGGATCGGACAGTTGGAAATAAACCAGAGAGAGCGGAACGCGAGGCCGGCAGCGAGCTCCGACGGTGTCGCCATGGCCGGAGGCGGGCGGCGTGCATGAAACATGGCCTACAAACCACGGATTCACGAGCCAAAAACACCGAGAGAGAGAGGAAAACAAGGCGAACTCTACTAAGTAGCTTACCGTGGCGTGAAGCGAACGTGAGCGGCGTGGTGCTCGGCAAGGCGGACGGAGATGGAGGCGATGCTAGGGTTGCGGCGGCTGGCGCATTGCGAGGGTGGCGGCTGGCGCTTTAGGGTCAGGTGAGGGCGGCGCAACGTAGGGGCACTATTTATGGGCGGCTTCGGCGTGCGGGTCACGCCAGGACGTAGCATAGAGGAGGCGGACTCGGCGGCGACGGCAGTGTCCGTGCCGGACACGCGCGGGAGGAAGGGGATAACCCGGACTCGCGGGCCCGGCGTGTCAGCGACAGGCGAGAGGGCGCGAGCGAGGCTGGGCCGGTGGGAGCTGGGCCAACAGGCCGAAAGCAAGGGAGGGAGAAAAATCATTTCTCTTTTTCTTTTCTAATTTTCCAAACCAATTTTGAAATTCAAATCAATTTGAAGTTGGATTTCAAACCACACAATTCAAAAATAATATGCAGCAGCATGAATGCATAGACATATATGTAGACCTATATTTGATTTTAATTTTAACAAAGTTATTATTTTTCTAAATTTCAATGCTCACAAAATGCATAATTAAATTATTTTCTCCTATTTTAAAACTATGCAAATTTTCGGGTGTTACACGCGTATGGCTTTGGGTACCGTGACACCTATGGCGCAAAGGTGTACATGTCCTGTAGAGACAACTATGGTGATGAAGGGTACGGTGAAGGAGATGTGCTAGGGTTTTACATCTCTCTGCCTGATGGTGAGAGGTATGAGCCTCAAGTGAATATGAACAACAAGGGCAAGCCTTTTCTTGTGCAAGGGCAGGACGCATTGGCTCATGTTCCAGGTGAGTGCCTGTTTCAAATTCTTCCTTGCATATTCCACCGTCGATTCCGTGACTTGGCCAGCCCCTTGCCGCCCATGGCGGACCATGGCAGCCCCTAGCCACACTGCAGCCGCGGCACTGTGCATGGCTGACTAGAGGCTAGCTGCTGCCGGTTGATGAACAGTACTGTAGGATTTGATTTTTTTTTTTACCAGATCTTGGGGAATTGTTGGAGTACATGAATTTTTCTGCTCCTAATTGGTTTTGGCTGCTTGGGGAAACAAGGTTCTTGGAACTCGTCTTTTTAGTAACTCTTGCAAATGCTCTAAGTAGGGGAAGTATCCACACCAAAATCACTGAAATTATGTATTGGGAAAAATCAAACCACACCTTAATTACACTGCTGGGCAAAATAAGAAAGAAAACATGCTTCAGACTTTTGGATAATGGAAGTAGCAGTTCCCATTTATTCATCTTGTAATATCTGCAAGCCTAAACTAATGTGTATTGCATAAATAAAACAGACCATTGGAGCTTTATTGCTTTTATCCAGCATGCTGTTATGATATTGTTATATTTCTGCTTACCCATACCAGTGGAGCTTTATTACTCTATTGATGCTGCAATGCTAATTTAAAATTTATCCTTTTCATTTTGGACTCTATATTTCCTGTCATCATAGCACCATTGCCCCTTATAGTTGCTGCTCGACATGAATAAGAAGGAGCATCTCCAATATTTAACTACTGAAGTATGTTGTTGTAGCTTCCATATATGAATAAGGTGCACCTTTAACATTGATTTTTTGTGTAAGGTAGTAAGAAATCCCAATTGGTTATGCTTGAGAGGTTTTTGGTCATCACATCAATGCTAAAATGTTTGAATATTGGGTGTCCAACACACATATATAATGGATCCTTTTTGTGTTCCGTTATATTACATAATTTTCAGAGAGCTTGAATAGAAATGATGTGTCATGCTATCTCTTTTACAGTTATTTTCCGTATCCATTATTTTACTATTGTTGTGACAATTTGAATATTATGTGGTTCTTGCATATGCAGGGAGTAAGATATGCTATTTCAAGAATGGGATGTGCCAAGGCCTTGCCTTCGAGGACATTTTAGGAGGGAGGTATTACCCAGCTGCATCGTTGTATACTATGCCCAACGAGTCCAACTGTGTAGTAAAATTTAATTTTGGGCCAAACTTCAACTTCTTCCCACAAGACTTTGGTGGGTTACCGATCCCTCAACCAATGAGTGAGGTGCCTCGTCAGGCCTTGAGGTGAGGTGAAAATTGATGTGCCTGCAGATAGTTACAAGGGGCATTACTAGAAAATCTATCTAGGGTAGTTAGCATGCTCTGTTAGCTATGTTAAATACCCTTGTGTAAACACCAGACAGGCCCCATGTACATGGTGAAGTTGGCTGCTCGAGTTATATCTGACTAGACTATATGCTTATGTTGTCACCAAATGGGTTTAATCTTTCATGTGACTGTATGCTTATGTTATCACCAAATGAGTTTAAACTTTCCTGTGATTCAGTGATTGTATGCGCTTATGTTGTCGCCGAATGTGTTTAATATTTCGTGTGATTGTTTGCTATGTTGTCACCAAATGGGTTTAATCATCTTTCCTGTGCTCGTGATTGTAAATGGTAGTGGTGAACAAGTGATGGTATAACGGGCAACCAGGCAGTGAAATATATTGAACCACGAGGTGGTGTTTCTGGTGGAGCGGCAGGTGAAATCTTATTATGAAGGAATACAATTTTCAACTGCAAAGCAAGGGATTTCTATAGCTTGGAAAGTAACTGCATGTGAATCTGCTTCATTATTTGTTCGCTCCAATGATTTGACCGTACGAATCCAAACATCTTTGCCAATATTTGTCTGTAATTGAAATATGTCGGGTTTCCTTTTGATGTGCATGTGATGATAATATGTGATTGACGGAATTACTTATCCTTATCTCAACTTCCAACCTTTTCGCACTTGGGAAAATCAATCTAATCGTGCGGAGATATAGGCTCGTGTACTAATCGACCAATCTGGAGGTGGAAGGACGTGGAAGAATGATGAGTAACGATAGGGTTCTCAATGTAAATGTACGAGAAAGAAAGTATAAATTGGTTGGGTCATATAGAAATATTTTGGGATTCGTGATGCAAAATTGTCTTATGTGTTCATTAGAAGCGAGATTCTACAAAAGGTTGGAGAAACCCAATAAATATGCTTCCTACTTTTTTTAGCCACTTACAAAACTCATTGTTCTAAGAGCATCTCTAACCGAGGCATTCAAGTGAAAAGATACATCGATACTCCCTGTCTATTTTTTTTCGTCGGCGCTCTCCGTTGCCCTCGGCTGCTACCGCCACCTCCGTCTGTTCACTATCTTTAGACATGAGAATATGAAGATAAAGCAGGCAATATAGATTCTGTTTTGAAGGTTCTGGCTATGAATTATGGTGTCGGGATGGCCGGGACTGTTGCTGCTTCCTTGAGATTCGTCGGAATTGGATCTCCAGCCACTATTTTCAAATTTGAGAAGGGACGGCAGATAATGTAAATTCTATTTTGAAGGATCTGGTGTGAACTAGGGTGTCAAAGATGGCCGGACAAAACAGAACTGTTGGTGTAGTATGTTTTTTTACCCAATAGGTTTCAAAATCAGGTATTTTAGCATTCAGTTTTTAACATACTGTCAGAGATGCTCTAACCCTTGCGGAAACATACAACACATCATAGCAGTTATACATATGGCAGGTTCTGGTGGAACATAACCCCGCGTCACTGATTTACATTCTCTTTGTGCAAAATCTACTTGTAAAATTCAGCAAGTCGGCAAAGTTTCCTATAGACAAAGAGAATCGCCAAAACATAAAGAAGTAAACATCTATTTGTTATATTTGTTGCATACTTGTGCTAATAATAACAGTTTCAATCCTAATATACATTTCCATATGGCATTCTGCACAATTTGGCTAAAAATGCAATGAAGAAAGAATAGTTACACTAAAAGGCCAAGATGAATGAGAAGAAATATAAGTGATTACAGTACATAAGTATCATTTACATTTACAAATAGGTGCATCAGATGATCCATATAATGGAAGACTATCTATCCTTCGGGAACAATTGCTCATACAAATAAATCAAAATAGAATTGTACACTGGCCACTGGAGCTACTCTTGTGTTTTCATGTTATGAAAGCATAACAGAAGCCATCTTGATCATGCAGTAGAAGATTAATTTATCTTTGCTATGAGCTACTAGAAGACACGGGGATTCTTAAGTGGTGATATTTTTTGAAGTTATGCCTGCCACCTGCATAGTGCTAATGATTAAATAATCTCAACTTGACTGCCATTTGATTTGTAGGTGGCTACAATCCATGAATGCTTCCACTCTGCTCAATGCTGCCTCTCGATGTTGCAACACTGACTTCATGCTAGGCTCAGTCCGTTTCCGTGCCATTTTTCGGGAGATGTTCTTCCATTTCGATTCAAACTCACAGGCTGCAAAAGGATAATTGGATAAATAAGATATCTTATGTATTAGTTCAAACTCAAGTAGCAGATGACCATTTCATTTCTGATCAAGAAATTGCAGATGCTAGTAAGTACAATAAGTTGAACATTACATTAAGAAGCATTTATGAATTGAAACACTCCAACTTGTTGATGGTACTAACATTTTTATGTGTGAAAATGAAGGAAGTAAAAAATTGAATGCTACGTGCCAAAGGATTAACTGCCTAGAAAAGATAGATGACCTTCTCGATTATACGTCAGGACCCAGGACAGGCAGTCAAGTTGCTGCGCTGTTAGTATGGTAAGGTAAACATAGCACCATTAACTGAAAGCCTGAACAAACATATATAATAGTCCCAGCATGCTCCAACTTCCAAATACAAGTAACTTTAGTAATCCCAAGCTAAATAGCTAGGGAGGTTGTACTTGTGCGCACAACCTAGAGCGTGACAAGCGACTGTTCTAATCTATTAAAGTCCCGTCCAAAGTGCGAAGCTGTAAGCCAGAAAACAGATAGTTACTACTAACCTTCACTTCTGTTGGCAAAGCCTTCAACAAGGCATGCGAGATTCCAAGGCCTTCCAGCAGAGGCTGCTTTTGCACCACCTTTTAACTCACCATTATGTTGCCGCAACCTAAAAAAAAAGCTCATTTTAACTGTATGATTCTTTGAACTGCTAGCTGTTATTAACATATACCTACTGAAAACAAGTGAATAAGATTTGCATTTTCAAGCATGTGTATCCTACAAGCCAGAGCAAGGCAACTCAGAGAATTTCAACACAACTCAATGCTATTCTGAGACAAACCTCTAGGTTGATAAACACCATTGGTATGCATTTATCAAATGCATGCAATGAAGCAACTTCAGGAATCAGGACAACGATGATGATGAAGCTAAGCAGAAAGACAAGCACATAACAGCATGATTAGGCATGTGTATTCCAACTGCGCATGTTTAACAATTAACATCTTTGGTTAATTAGAAGAAACCCTGGGCATTTTAATATCTTCAACAAAGGAGCTGAGCACTTGCTAGAGCTTCCTTTTGTTATCCTCCAACTCTCAGCGCAGTACTAGAATGAAGAAAAGCAGTCGAATTTCAATCCTGACAAGATCGAGCCACACTGTCGTGCAACAATCGCAACCGGATGGGGTCAATTTCTTGTGTTCCACTCACAAGCTGCAACTCAAAACGGCGGCTTCCCCCAAATGCTAACATTACCAGAACGTGCCCGCTGCAACTATACGACGACTATCCGAGACAAGCAATTAAATGGAGAAACAAGGAGGGCGAAAGGAACGTGGAGGCAGGCAGGGCAGGACAAGGAATTACCGGCGAGGGAAGTCGGTGGTGACGCCGACGTAGGTGCGGGGGATCCGGGAGGAGACTATAAGGTACACGCACCACGGCGGCGCCGCCTTACTACTCTTCGCGGCCCCCGCCGGCGGATCCCCGGACGCCGAGGCCGAGGCGGCTGCGGCGGCTGGCTCGCCGCACTTTGGGGGAAGAGGGCGCGGGATTTTGGCGGCTCGGAAGGCCGCCGTGAGGCTCATCTCTCAACAGGCCGGCGGGGCGGAATCGTCGGTGGCATTCGCATCCATGCCCGTGGACGAAATTTACGAATTGGAGGAGGGGAAGAAATTAGTGACGTCATGGGATGAATGGGCCTTGACGGACAAATGGTTGTGGACCTGAATGGACAAATGGTCGTGGGAATTTTTTTTGGAGGAAAAAAGTCTATTTTACCTCTTGACTTTTTTTTGAACTATTTTACCTCTTGACTCGATGTACTATGGCCGTAGTGTAAATTTTCTCGTCGAACTCCACAGCTAGATTTGAATTGAACTCTCAAAATCATTCAAATTACCCCTCTATCCTGGTTTCAAGTGGTTTAAAGGCAGTTTTGTCTTTTCAGTTAAAAAATCATGTAAATATTTTGATATAAGGTTTTTAAACAAAAAAAATGTCTTTAAGCTTCTAAAATTTTTGAGGAAAACCCTTTATATTAAGATATAAAGGATCTAAATAGAATACTTAGAATTCATAAAAATTTCTCTAGAAGCTTTCAAAAAATTTGATTTAGCTCTAGAAAAATAAAAAAAATATCCAGAGAAAACTAGAAAAATCCTAAAACATTCCACGAGTAGTTGATGTCTACAAGCATTTTGATTTTTTTTGTCAAAACAAACAATGTAATACATAACTGGCATGAATGCATAGCAAGTATACATTTAATACTAATGAATGTTGCATCCATGCTAGGTTGCATCTCATATTTTTATCATGATTTTTTATAACACGTTTGACATCGAATCAGAATGTTTTGGAGATTTTCTAGTTTTTCTATTTTCCTTTAGGCCCGTTTGGATCCTAGTAATTGAATTTATTTTAATAATTTTGGCATATATTAATTAAGCTAATATGGTTGTATATGGATTATATTTGTATATTATTATTGGTTATACGAGAGAGATACTTATGTGTTGCATTTCTACCATAGGGGAGCGAGTTGAAGAGTGTGTTATAAGTTGCAAAGTAGAAACATAGAATGGTGATTTATAGAATTAATTTTCATCTTCCACACTATGAATTTTAAGATAGGCTTACATGTGAACTTTAAATAGTGGTGGAATGTCAAATTCCAAGCCAAATAGCCTAATTTATTAAGTAGATTTTAATTCCTCCAAATGAAAGAATCAAAACAGCCCCTTAGAGATATTTTCACAAGTTCTAAATATTTTATTCAAACT